CGCCCGGCCTGCCCCTTCCCGGTCAAGGCACCACGAGGCGCCGCACGGCGCCGCTGCCTGCGCCCCTGCCGGCCGCCGCCGCGCCCAGACATCAAACCAAGGGCCTCCCAAGTGGCGGGCGCCTTTGGGACCCAAAGGCCTCCCAGAAAGGCCTCCCAGAAGGGCCTCCCAGAAAGGCCTCCCAGAAAGGTTTCTGGGAGGCCTCCCAAAGGCCTCCCAGAAAGGCCTCCCAAAAAGGCCTCCCAGAAAGGTGTCTGGGAGGCCTCCCAAAGGCCTCCCAGAAACCCGGAACCGCAAACTTCCGCCGGCCTTCCGCCGGTCTGTGCCAGCGCAGCCGCCCTCGCTCTGCTTCCGCTGCCTTCCGCCGCCCTGCCGCCGAGGAAGAGGCGACAACTTCTTCGATCCTCGAAGGCGAGGCCCTTTCTGGAGAAGCGCCGCATCACCGACGCACCGCCGATGCGTCGGCGAGGCACCCGCGGTCGGCAACGCATCGGACCCGTCGGCGTGGAGAAAATCGACGGCTCCACATCGGGGGAGGACGAGGAAGAGGAGGAGGAGGAAGAGGAGGAGGAGGAGGAGGAGGAGGAGGAGGAGGAGGAGGAGGAGGAGGAGGAGGGGGAGGGAGAGGGGGAGGGGGAGGAGAAGAAAAAGGGGAGGAGGAGGGGAGGGGGAAGGGGGGGTGGAGGAGAACGAGAAGGAGGAGGAGGGGGAAGAGGAGGAGCCGATCCATCGGCGATGAAGACGTGATCCTCCGACCCGCCTGCTCGGAGCCCATGAGGGAGGCATGGACGTGCACAGCGGCACGAGCCCGCACGGCACGTTCGGACACCGTCACTGCAACACACGACGGCACAACACGGCGCGGCACAACCTCGTCGTCGTCGTCGGTCGTCGTCGGTCGTCGTCGGTCGTCGTCGTCGTCCTCGCCGCCGCCGCCGCCGCCGCCGTCGTCGTCGTCGTCGTCGCTCGTCGTCGTCATCGTCGTCGACGCTCGTCGTCGTCGTCGCTCGTCGCTCATCGCTCGTCGCTCGTCGCTCGTCGCTCGTCGCTCGTCGTCGTCGTCGTCGTCCTCGTAGTCGATCGTTGTCGTCGCCCGTCACTCGTCGCTCGTCGCCATCGTCGCTCGTCGTCGTCGTCGTCGCCGTTGCCGTCGCCGTCGTCGTCGTCGTCGTCGTGGCAATCAGAGTCGTCGTCGCTCGTCGATGTCGTCGCCGTCGTGGTCGCCGTAGTCGTCCTCCTCATGGTCGTCGTCGTCGCTCGTTTTAGTCGTCGTCGTCCTCGCTGGCGTCGTCGTCGTCCTCGTCGTCGCCGTCGCTGTCGTCGCTGGCAGCTTGCCTGGCGTCGTTGTTGTCGAAGCTCGTCCTCGCCGTCGTAGTCGTCGTCGTGGTCGCCGTCGCCGTCGCCGTCTCCGTCGCCGTCGCCGTCCGCGTCGGCGTCGTCGCTCGTCGTGGTGGTCGTCGTTGTGCTCGTCCTCGTCGTCGTCGCACGTCGTCGTCGTCGCTCGTCGTCGTCGTCCTCGTCGTCGTCGTGGTCGTAGTCGTCGTCGCCGTCGCAGTCGTCGCTCGTCGTCGTCGTCGTTCTGGTCGTCGTCCACGTCGGTCGTGGTCGTCGTCGTCCTCGTCGTCGCTGTCGCCGTCGTCGTCTTCGTCGTCGTCGCTCGTCGTCGTCGTCGTCGTCGACGTCGCCGTCGCCGTCGCCGTCGTCGACGCCACCAAGGTCGCCGTCGCAGTCGCCGTCGTCGCAGTCCTCGTCGTCGTCGTCGTCGATCATCGTCGTCGTCGTCCTCGTCGTCGCTCGTCGTCGCCGTAGTCGTCGTCGCCGTCGTTGCCGTCGCCATTACCGTCGCCGTCGCGTTCGTCGTCGTCGCCGTCGTCCTCGTCGTCGTCCTCGCTCGTCGTCGTCGTCGTGCTGTTGGTTGTCGATCGTCATCGTCGATCGTCGTCACTCGTCGTCGTCGTCATCGTCGTCGTCGCCGTCGCGCCGTCACCGTCGCCGTCGTCGTCGCCGTCGCCGTCGTCGTCGTCGTCGCTCGTCGGCATCGCTCGTCGTCGTCGTCGTCGCTCGTCGTCGTCCTCGTCGTCGTCGTCGTCCTCGACATCGTGGTCGTCGTCGCCGTCGCCTGTCGCCGTCACCATCCTCGTCGTCGTCCTCGCCGTCGCCGTCGCCCGTCGTCGTCGGTCGTCGTCGTCGTCGTCGTCGTCGCTCGTCGTCGTCGTCCTCGTCAACGCCGTCGTCGTAGTCGTCGTCGAAGTCGCCAACGCCGTCGTCGTCACCGCCGTCCCCGTCGCCGTCGTCGTTCCCGTCGTTCCTCCTCGTCGTCGTCGTCATCGTTGCCGTGGCCGTTGCCGTCGCCGTCGCCGTCGTCGTCGTCGTCGCCGTCGTCGTCGTCATCGCCCGTCGTCCTCGTGGTCGTCGTGGTCGTCGTTGCCGATCATCGTCGTCGCTCGTCGTCGTCGTCGTCGTCGCCGTCGCCGTCAACCTCGCCGTCGCCGTCGCCGTTGCCATCGCCGTCCCCGTCGCCGTCGTCGACGACGTCGTCGTCGTCACTCGTCGCTCATCGCTCGTCGTCGTCGCTCGTCGTCGCCGTCGTCGTAGACATCGTCGTCGTCGCCGACGCCGTCGCCATCGCCGACGCGGGTGCCGTCGTCGTCGTCGTCGCCGTCGCCGTCGCCGTCGCCGTCGATCATCGTCGTCGCTCATCGTCGTCGCTCATCATCGTCGTCGTCATCCTCATCAACGTCGTTGACGTCGCCGTCGCCATCGTCGTCGTAGTCGTCGCTCGTCGTCGTCGTCGACGTCGCCGTCGCCGTCGACGTCACCGTCCTCGTCGTCGTCCTCGTCGTCCTCGTCGCTCGTCGTCGACGTAGTCGTCGTCGTTGTCGTCGTTGCCGTTGCCGTCGTTTTTGCAGTCGCCGTCGCCACCGTCGGCGTCGTCGTCGCTCGTCGTCGTCGTCGCCGTGGTCGTCGTTGTCGATCATCGTCGTCGCTCGTCGCAGTCGTCGGCGTCGTCGCCATCGTCATTCTCGTCGCCGTCGCCGTCGCCGTCATCGTCGCCGTCGCCGTCGTCGTCGCCGTCGTCGTCGTCGTCGTCGTCGCTCGTCGTCGTCGCCGCTCGTCGTCGCTCGTCGTCATCGTCGTCCTCGTCGTCGTCGCTCGTCGTCGTCGTCCTCGTCATCGTCGCCGTCGTCGTCGTGGTCGTTGTTGCCGTCGCCCTCGCCGTTGCCGTCACCGTCGCAGGGGCCGTCGCCGCCGCCGTCGCCGTCGCCGTCGTCGTCGTCGTCGTCGCTCGTCGTCGTCGCTCGTCGTCGTCCTCGTAGTCGTCGCTCGTCGTCGTCCTCGTCCTCATCGTCCTCGTCGTCGTCGTCCTCGTCGTGGTCGCCCGTCGTCGTCAGCATCCTCGTCGCACGCCCTCGTCGTCGGCGTCGCTTGTCGTCGTCGTAGTCGTCGTCGTCGTTGCCGTCGGCATCGCCGTCGCCGTCGCCGCCGTCGTCGTCATCGTCGTCGTCGTCGTCGTGGTCGTCCTTGTCGTCGCCGTCGCTCGTCGTTGTCGTCGTCGTCGACGCCGTCGCCGTCGTCGTCGCTGTCGCCATCGCCGTCGCCGTCACCGTCGCCGTCGCCGTCGTCGTCGTCGTCCACGTCGCTCGTCGCCATCGCTCGTGTCGTCGTCGTCGTCCTCGTCGTCGCTGTCGTCGTCGTCCTCGTCATTGTCGACGTCGTCGTAGTCGTCGTCGTCGTTACCGTCACCGTCGCCGTCGCCGGTGCCGTCGGCGTCGCCGTCGCCGTCACCGTCGCCGTCGTCGTGATCGTCGTCGTCGCTCGTCGTCGTCGCTCGTCGTCGTCGTCGTCGTCGTCCTCGTCGTCGTCGTCCACGTCGTCGTCCTCGTCATAGTCGTCGTCGTCGTAGTCGTCGTCGTCGCCGTCGCCGTCGCCGTCGCCAACGCCGTCGCCGTCGGCGTCGTCGTCGATCATCGTCGTCGCTCATCTTCGTCGTCGTCGTCGTCGCTCGTCGTCGTCGCTCGTCATAGTCGTCGTCGATCGTCGTCGTCCTCGTCATAGTCGTCGTCATAGTAGTCGTCGTCGTCGTCGCCGTCGCCGTCGCCGTTGCCGTCGCCACTGCCGTCGCTGTCAAACTCGCCGTCGCCGTCCTCTTTGTCGCCGTCGTCGTCGCTCGTCGGCATCGCTCGTCGTCGTCGTCGTCGCTCAGCGTCGTCCTCGTCGTTGCCGTCGTCGCAGTCGTCGTCGTCCACGTTGCGGTCGCCGTCGTCGTCACCGTCCTCGTCGTCGTCGTCGTCCTCGTCGCTCGTCGCAGTCGTAATCGTCGTCGTCGTCGTTGCCGTCGCCGTTGCCGTCGCCGTCGCCGTCGTCGTCGTCGTCCTCGTCGTGGTCGTCGTTGTCGATCGTCGTCGTCGTTCGTCGTTGTCGTCGTCGTCGCCGTCGCCGTCGCCGTCGCCGTCGCCGTCGCCGTCGCCGTCGCTCGTCGCCGTCGCCACCGTCGTCGCTCTTTGTCGTCGTCGTCATCGTAGTCGTCGTCCTCGTCCTCGTCATCGTCGTCGTCGTATTCGTCGTCGTCGTCGCCGTCGCCAGAGCCGTCGCCAGTGCCGTCACCGTCACCGTCGCCATCGTCGTCGCTCGTCGTCGTCGTTCTCGTCGCTCGTCGTCGTCGCTCGTCGTCGTCGTCCTCGTCGTCGTCGTCGCTCGTTGTCGTCGCTCGTCGTCGTCGTCGTCGCCGTCGTCGTCGGCGCTCGTCGTCGTCGCCGACGTCGCCGTCGCCGTCGCCGTCGCCGTCCGCCGTCGCCGTCGCCGTCGTCGTCGCTCGTCGTCTCTCGTCGTTGTCGTCGGCTTCTCCAAAGACTGGCCGAGGCCCACGCCGGCTCAGCGTGCGAGGTGCTCCTTATCATCGGGCTCCCGTCGCTCTGCGGTGTACGTACCGATCGCGTTGCTGCATGACATTCTGACCTCTCCTGCTGCTACCTCTGCTCGATAGACTGCCCATTGGTCTCCTGATGGCTTCCCGTCGCGGTTGAGCAAGAGGCGAATTGACGGCTCCGTGCTGGCAAGGTTTGCGGCGTGTTCACCAAGAAAGGCCTGGGAGGGAAACACCGATCACACCATCACATTCGAGCTGCCGACTCTACGAAGGGGCAAATGCGATGCGACACAAACATAATACACAACGCCTGACGTCCAATGCCGGAGGAGGGGGGGGATGGTGCTGGACGGGACAGTAGTGGCAAATGTTTAGAGCGATGATACAGGGGAATCGTGACGCAGAGTGGGAACCAGATGGGGACAAATTGGATGATGTAGGAACTGGAGATCGAGGCTGAGCATCGGTCTAAGACATAATGATACCGGAGAAAAAAAACAATCATAATATTTTAAGGGCTTGAGGGCTATGGGGCTATCAGGCTATAGGGCTAGAAGGCTATGGGGCTATAGGGCTGCAGGGCTACAGGGCCATAGGGCTATAGGGCTATTGGGCTATAGGGTTGTGGGGCTATAGGGCTATAGGGCTATAGGGCTATAGGGCTATGAGGCTATAAGACTACAGGGCTATTAGGGCTATAGGGCTACAGGGCTGTAGGGCTATAGGGCTATATAAAGCTACCAAGCACCTGGGCACCGGGGCACCTGGGCACCCAGGCACCCGGGCACCCGGGCACCCCCAGGCACCCGGGCACCTGGGCGTGCGGCGAAAATCGGCGGCAAACCTAACCTAACCATATGAGTCCGCTAGGACCCCTGCAGAGGCAAGCTCTGATTGGGGAATTAGGCGGAGGCAAATCCAGACGGAACAAGCCCAGATGGAGACCGAACACTCCCTGCGGACTTACCCCGTACGGACTCAGCATCCTAACAGGCGAACCTAAGTCCAGACGGAGTAAGCCCAGGCGGGGACCGAGCACTCCGTACGGACTTACTCCGTACGAACTTACAATCCTCTGGCGTACCCCTCGTCGATCTCCTTGCCAAGCCGGTGGCGCCACAGGGAGCCAAATGCTGGAGCTCCACCACCTTGCCCTCGGCCCACGGGGGCAATAGAGAGTGCCTGCTCGCTGTCTGACATGTTCGGAGGCAAATCCTGGGGGGTCTTCGTCACAACGATCAAGGGCGATTGAGACCGATTAATCAGCCAAAAAGCGATATGAAGCCGGATTGGGCCCGGGACTGAGCCGGATTCAGGAGAATGTGATCAGACTCAGCGGGATTAGACTTGATCCAGCGGGATTAAGCCGGGTTCGGCAACTATTCGACCAGAGATATACCAGCGCCGATTCAAAATGTAACCTCCTAGCAGTTGCCGTCTAGGGGATGCCCAGGCACGACCCATCCGAAGACGCGCTAAAGCGGCCTCCAGAGAGCTGCAAACACCCAGCGAGGCTCCAAGCGGCCTCACGAAGCCCCCGACGGGTACTCAATGAGGCTTCCAGCGAGGCCCTAGAAGGCCAAACACAATGTAAAACGTAGCACCCCGCAGATGCGGATAAGAGTGAGGGGGCGTTGGGGACGTCGGCAGTCTGCGAGACTCTGGAGAAGCCTGCCGCAGGCGCCAAAAATTCATAAATTATACAACGAGCCCGCCGCAGGCGATAATTTCTTGTTCGAATCAATGCGGATCGGTCGCGGCTGGGTCGCGGGTGGGTCGCGGGTGGGTCGCGGGGTGGGTCGCGGGTGGGTCGCGGGGTGGATCGCGGGTGGGTCGCGGGGTGGGTCGCGGGTGGGTCGCGGGGTGGGTCGCGGGGTGGGTCGCGGGGTGGGTGGGTCCCGGGTGGGTCGCGGGGGGAGAGGACAACAAACAACAACAACAACAACAACAACAACAACAACAACAACAACAACAACAACAACAACAACAACAACAACAATTACTAGCACGTGGGGACACTCCGTTCTCACCAGTGCCAGGGTTTTCATAGGAGGCGGGCAATACCCCCACTTTGTGGGGGGGCCGGTTCAAGCTCTACCAAATTTCCAAACGACTCTTCGCCACCACCCACACCCAGCTTCCCGCCCTATGACGTTCGGACACTTCACTTCGTGGCATGCGGACGACCGTGGCTACTATTCAGGGCCCCGCGGCCGACGACGACGGCGTGCGCGCGCGAAGAAAAAACGAATGTGTCCCGCATGGTATTATTTGACAGGGATGATGGCCCTGGCAGGTGCGCAACCGTTGTTGCAGAAGTTCGAAAAAGTTGCTCGCAAAAGCCCGTTTGACAGAAATGTGTAAAAAGTGTTGGGTTTCCTACGAATCCGAAGGAGCGCGATTTTGACATATTTAGAAAACAAACCAAAAAAAAAAAAAAACATTGGTTTTTTGATGTTTTTATGTTAAAATCGCTACGAAAACTAAGGTTTTGGAAGGATTTCGTCTTGCGCGCGCGAATGTCCACTTTACCTTATTTTTGCAAGGGATTCTTGAAGTTTGGTTATGTTAGAACAAGAAATGTCCACTTTAGCTTATTTTTTGCAAGGGAAAACCGATCGTAACAACACAACCGGATCCGGACTCCCCCGTTTTGCCTGAGACTTCCTCACGAAAATTATGAAAATGAGGCTGCGGCCTAGGCGCGGCGGGGGGGTCGTGCACCAGGGGCCCCAACAATAATTATTCTTTAGAAGTAATAATGTTCAACAACAACAACAATAACAACCACGACGACGACGACGACGACGACGACGACCACGATGACGACGACGACGACGACAACAACAACGCAACAAGCAGAATCACAACCACGGATTCTCACTTCAGCCACGCACCCAAGGACAATGAATGACCGTTCGGCCCCCTCACTCTGACAGACGTCTGTTGCGGTTGCTAGGTCCCTCAATTCAGATGGCCTCCACAACCGCAGCTTGCAGCATGGGTTGTCCCGTGGTTGTCCTGTGGTTGCCTCGTGGGCTGTCGCGTGGGTTGTCGAGTGGGTTGTCCCGTGATTGTCCTATGGGTTGTCCCGTGGGTTGTCGCGCGGGTTGTCCTGGGTGCTGTCCCGTGGCTGTCCCGTGGAAGTCCCAAGGATCGACCTGTGGTTGTCCTGTGGGCTGTCCCGTGGGCTGTCACATGTGCCGTCCCGTGGCTTTCCTGTGGCTGCATCGTGGGTTTTCCCCGGGGGCTGTCGTGTGGCTGTCCCGTGGGAGTCCCGAAGGTTGTCCCGAGGGTTGTCCTGTGGTTTTCCCGCTGGTTGTCCCGTAGCCGTTCCCGTGGGTTGTCCCGTGGGTTGTCCAATGACTGTCCGTAGGTTGACCCGTGGCTGTCCCGTGGGATCCCGCGGGTGTCTTGCGGTCGTCTCATGGGTTGTCCCGCGGTTGTCTCGTGCGTTGTCCTGTGCGATATGCAAATCGACATGCAAAGCCAATGGCAAACGATATGCACATCGAAATGCAAATCAACATGCAAATCACAGTGCGAATCGACCTGTAAATCGAAATGGGATGTGCAACAGTTGCTGCATCGGCATGAACTCGTAAGTTTCATATGGCTGCATTCAAAGCGAAAACCGAAAGAAACATGTACATGCAATCGAAAGGTGCATCAACATGCACATCGGCACGAACATCGGAATGCAAATCGTAGCGCAAGTCTAAATACAGGTCAACCTACAACTCGGAATGAAAACCAAATGGACAATGAACATGTCAAGTGGCATACCTCATAGATCATCCTTCAGGTGGTAAGGAAGTTGGGTGAGGAAGGTCCTGTTCGATTGCAAGTGGTTGTACAATTCGACTGCAATTGGATTTAAATTTCGATGTACATTCGGTTGTAGTTCGATGTAAAGTTCGGTATGGATTTTGATGTCACCCATATTGCAATTAGACTTGCAGTTCGGTGCGTGTCGATTTACATGCCGAAATCCCGCCAGCCCTTTGGGCGTGAGTGGTTGAGCGAGCTCTCTCTGTTCTCAACCCCCCTTCTTCCCCTTCGGGGAGGGGTTTCCCCCTCCCCCTACCCCTCCCCCTGGACCTGGAGAGGGGGTTTCGCGGGTGGTCAGAGGGTCCTTTTTCTATCCCTGGGAGGGCTAAAATTCGACACCCCTCACGAGGATCGTGGCCCCGACGGGGGTACTGACAAAAATGCTCGCCCCATCTGTGATCGATCGCCCCAAAGATGGCCCCAACAGGCCCCCAAGACGCTCCAAGAGGCGCCCAAGAGGGCCCCCGGACGCTCCCAAGAGGCTCAAAAGAGAGCCCAAGAGGCCCCTCTACGATCTCCAAGAGGCCTCCAAACTGCCTTGGATACGACTACTTGTACTACTACTACTACTACTACTACTACTACTACTACTACTACTACTACTACTACTACTACTACTACTACTACTACTACTACTGCTGCTACTACTACTACTACTACTACTACTACTACTACTACTACTACTACTACTACTACTACTACTACTACTACTACTACTACTACTACTACTACTACTACTACTACTACTACTACTACTACTACTACTACTACTACTACTACTACTACTACTACTACTACTACTACTACTACTACTACTACTACTACTACTACTACTACTACTACTACTACTACTACTACTACTACTACTACTACTACTACTACTACTACTACTACTACGAGGGGCCCGAACGACTTGCACCAGGACGAGGTGCCCGAACGCCTCACGCCACGAGGAGCCCGAACGACTCACACCAGGACGAGGGGCCCGAACGACTCACACCACGAAGAGCCCGAACGACTCACACCAGAAGGAGGGGCCCGAACGACTCACACCAGGACGAGGCGCCCGAACGACTCACACCACGAGGAGCCCGAACGACTCACACCACGACGAGGGCCCCGAACGACTCACACCACGAGGAGCCCGAACGAGTCACACCAGGAGGAGGGGCCCGAACGACTCACACGAGGACGAGGGGCCCGAACAACTCACACCACGAGAAGCCCGAACGACTCACACCAGGACGAAGAGCCCGAACGACTCACATCACGAAGAGCCCGAACGACTCACACCAGGAAGAAGGGCCCGAACGACTCACACCAGGACAAGAAACCCCAAACGACTCAAACCACGAGGAGCGCTTTCTCTCCCTCCTCCTCCGCCTCGTCCTTCTCCCGCTCCCACCACAAGGAGGATGTACAAGGAGGCGGGAGGAAGGAGGAACAGGGGAGATATGCGGGGGCAGGCGGAAACACGCCTGAAAAACACGACTGTCGGCATGCTTCGCAAGAGTTGCTGTTTTGAGATGGGCTGGTGGGGATACGCGAAGCGTAAAGAATTCGTTTAGACTCGCAGTTCGATAGTCATTCCGTTCGTGTACGTTCAAGCGACATGCGGTGTTGCATGTCGACGTTCGTTGAGAGATGTACCTGTGGATGTGCATTTCGATTGCATTTGGATGTGCATTTCGATGTGCATTTCAACTTTGATCAGTTCGGAATTCCGATGTCCCCTTCGATGTGCATTACGAATTACAGCTCCGACCTAAATCTCGATTTGCACTCCGATGTCGGGTGCGACTGCCATCGGATGCGTACTCTGGTGTGCATGCCGAGTCCAGTTCGGTCTGTGCTTCACGCGGGACAGCCCACGGTACAACCGACGGGTCAACCACGGGACAACCCAAGGGACAACCCAAGGCACAACCTGCCCTGTCATCGCTCAGACGCCCATTCCCCGTCCATGTTGTCTGTTTCGTACGTTGAATGGTTCGAAAAGTGATCCGATATGCTCTCTGATGGTCCCAGCCGAAAAATAAATGCAAACGTCCGAGCGACCCCAAGCTATGGAAAATCAGCGGGACAGCCCGCAAGACAGCCCGCGGGACCACCCATGGGGCAAAAACACCCGCGCGCGAACCCCCGCGAGGCAACAGGGCAAAAGACGTCTTGCCTCGGGGATCTTCTGAGCCGGGTCAATCCAGACCCGGGTCAAGCAGGCTTTGCAGGATCCTGCAGGATCCTGCACCCAAGCCCGGGTCAATGCGCCCCTAGCTCTACAGGATCCTGCAAGATCCGGCGCTCTGACTGACCCTGGTTTGCATTGAACCCCTCTTCCTCCTCCTCCTCCTCCTCCTCCTCCTCCTCCTCCTCATCCCCCTCCTCATTCTCCTCCTCCTCCTCCTCGTCCTCATTCTCCTCCTCCTCCTGCTCCTCGTCCTTCTTCTCCTCCTCCTCCTCCTCCTCCTCCTCCTCCTCCTCCTCCTCCTCCTCCTCCTCCTCCTCCTCCTCCTCCTCCTCCTCCTCCTCCTCCTCCTCGTCCTTCTCCTCCTCCTCCTCGTCCTCCTCCTCCTCCTCGCCCCCCAACCTCCGATGCAGATCCGCTGCAGCCGGAGTGCAGGTCGAAATTTCCGGGATTTGCAGATCAGATCCTGCAGATCGAGACGCAGATCAGAACTGGAAAAAGCCCACCTGCAGCCAGAGTGTTGTGAGTCGAAGTGAATTCGAGATGCAGTTTCGAATGCGATCGAGACGCACATCGAGGCGCGGCTCGAAACGCGAGCTTCTCCGGCGCCAGTGGCAACCTTCTTATCAACCGAAGGGTGGTCTATGAGGTAGAAGATGTTGCAAGATGGGGCCACAAACAAAGAAAGCAAAGATGCGCGATGAGCAGACCAGCATTCCCACGAAACGCAATCCGAAGCGGCGCCAGAGATGGAGACGGTGGAACAGGGAAGACGCTCGCACAGGTGCCTTGATGTCTGCGATGGTGGCCCTCAGGGGAGCCGTCAAAGCACAAGAGATAGCCTACCGATAACTCAAAACATTCGTACTCATCCGCAGCCTACGACATTTCAACGTCGGCCTCTGCCCGACATTCGCATTGCGTGCCGCGCGAATATGCGTACATGCAAAGTACGCCCAGGATCACCGCCAACAAGCGCGCGGCACAACTCCATGGAGCCGTTGGAGACAATATAGATCTGCCTTCCCAATGAGATCTCAGACTCACTCAAGACTGTTCGATGGCCGCGTCTCGCACCGCTTGACGGCCAGAATCGTCGGAAGACCAACCCGTTAAACATTAGGAGGTGCCACGCGTTCAAACATCAGCGCGTGGACCTTGGACGTGCTCCAGTGGTTCTGAGGCAACAACGGGCGGAGACAGTCTCGCAAATGACTAACAATGGTTTCGTCCCAGATCAGCACGTTGTTTCCACGGGACTTGCAAGAAATTGCGACGGCATCCGCACCCAGGAATCTCCGCACAAGTTGCAAACCGATGGTGCACCTTGGGTGCCTCCCCATTTCCACATCGAGCGTAGCATCTCGATACTGCTGCAACTACTACTGCTACTAATCGCGGCGACAATTTCCTCTGCGGACAGGAGGGGGGGCATCATGGACGGGGGGGCCGTTGGGGGGCAGGCCCTGGATCATAGGCTCAGTGGGCGTGGCAAAAATCATCCGCCAGCCCCATTGTGGGGCCATCAGGCTGTGGGGGTGATGCTTGCTGCTCCCTGCGCCAGCCAGCTTCCAATATTGTTATAATCCTACTGTCTGCGTCCTACTGTGAATTGTTGAAGTCCGCGCGAGGGGGGGAGAGCAGAGGAGGAGTAGGAGGAGAAGGAGGAGGAGGAGGGGGAGGAAGAGGAGGAGGAGGAGGAGGAGGCCCGAACTGCGCCGCCGAGCCACAACTGGAGCTGTGTTCCTGACAGTAGAGGCCAGTCCACAAGAAACATTCCACAAGGAACCCAACCCTGAGACCCCAGGACGTCAATTGATTTTAAGTACCACCCTGGAGGCAAGCAGGGTGTTGCTTGGCATGGGTTTCCACTATAACCCCTCTGGGAGCACCTGGGCACCCGTCAGATCGACGATCTCCCGAGAGGAGTGTCGATCGGCGGCGAGCGAGGGGGGGAAGTGAGCAGGAGAAGGTCCTCTCAGAAGGCAGCGGGACTTCTCGGAAGCCCTCGCGCCCTACGAGAAGGTTTCTGTATCCTCGGGGGAGGCCCAGAACACTTCTCAGCTCCCGAGACCCCCGACGTCGAGACTTTTCCACCACGTCGACCCCCCGAGATCTGGACCCTGTCCCCGGGACCGGCTTTTCATCCTGAGTCGTTCTTCGACGGCCCCGAGGCCCGGGAAGGGCCCCTGGAGGCCGAAAATGGCGGAAGACCTCCCGTCGCGATCTTCTCACACCGCGAGGGGGCCCGGGTCCTTCTCGCTTCCCCCCCGGGGCTCGCCGCCGTGCCGACGCCGCAGTGCCGGGCCCCGGCGGCCGAAGACGTCCAGAAGCCCGCCGCGGGAGGCCGACGACGTCCCAAAAGCCCGCCGCTCCGCGTTCCGTGGGAGCGTCGGATCTCGGGGGGGGGGCCGCGGGGCGGGGCGGGGTCCTGAAGGGGAGGCCCCGCAGCTGGACGGTGCACGGGCCGAGGCTGTCCTGCGCCCCGCGGGGGCGGGGCGGGCGGCAGGGGGCCACGAGGAGGGGGGGGGCGGCGCAGAGGCGGCGAGGGGAGCGGGGGGAGGGGGAGGGGGAGGGGGCAGGGCAAGCTAGGTGCGCTCGCGTCATATCTGACATCCTACCCCTCCCTCCCATCCCTTACCATGGCGCAGATCCCCTCTCTACTCGCACAGTCGGATGTCGAGCAGGGCAATAATCCCGAAAAGGTACGCGATGCATTGGAGAACACGGCATGGCATGGCGTAGAACAGCACCGCAAAGCGCAGTTTCAACCTAGCATTGCATTGCATGCCGTGGCATGGCACGAGAAATGACGCCAGCGCTGCAGCGGGAGCACGAGTCGAAACGAGCGGAAGCGCGGAAATGAGGCCAGCGCCGCAGCGGGAGCACGATTCGGAACGAGCGGAAGCACGGAAATGAGGCCAGCGCTGCAGCGGGAGCACGATTCGGAACGAGCGGGGCTGAAAATGAGGCCGGCGCCTCCGCGAGAGCAGCATTTTGAAAAAAAATGCAAGCGAAAACCCAATTCCGGGGAAACCTGTGTGTAAAAAAACAGTACGCGGGGGGGGGTCGGACACTTTCAAACCGTCATCAGGGGAAGAGGGAGAGCAGTATTCATATTAAGTAATTGTGGAGGAGCGGGGGGGGGGGAGGAGCCGGGGGAAGGGGAGGGGGAGAGGGCAAGCCGGGTGCGCTCGCGTCATACCTGACGGAGTCCAGGGAAGCCTGTGGCGCTGGACCGGCCCGCGCCCTGCCACCGGGGCGCCTCTGGTCGCATCGTCAGCGATGCTCGCTCGATGCCGCACCGTAGGCACTTCGGCCCGAAGGGCCCGTAGGCCCTGGGGGGAGCGAAACTTTTTGGTCTGCGGGTCGAGAGCGAACCTCTTCCGGTTAAAAGCTAGGCGGGCTGCGCAAACGGGGGGAGCGAAACACGCAGCCTCATCTTCTGTTTGCTTGACAGGGTTCGAGCTAAATGGTGCTTCCCGTTTTCGCTCTGACTTCGTTTGCCCTCGCTCTGTCGTTGTCCCACCTGTGCCGCAAAAGGAACTCAAAACGAAAGCGGTGCACGAAATCGCCCAAACACCGCTTCGCTCGAGCCCTGTCGCTTGAGACTCGATCCAGGACAAGCGCCCTCGCGGCCCGACGCCAGAGCCGGCCGGTCGGAGTCACTCGCGGGACCCTGACGTCTGCCGTTGCGAGAACATAGCAACCTCTCAAAAGAAATATATATATATATATATAAATATGTATACACAACAACAACAACAACAACAACAACAACAACAACAACAACAATCACTTTACCCGAACGCTCAGTGTTCTCCCCAGTGCCAGGGTTTTCTTGCGACACCAGCCAATACCCCCACTTCGTGGGGGGGCCGTTCAAGCTCTACCAAATATCCAAACGACTCTTCGAGACCACCCACACCCAGCTTCCCGCCCTATGACGTTGGGACACTTCACTTCGTGGCGTGCGGACGACCCTGGCTACTACACTGGCGTGGGGTACACACCCACAGAGGTTGATCACATCTGTTACATATGATGTGGTACACGGTACACGTGAGATGGTACGCAGTGCCAAGATAGTTGGTCACATTTTTGGGGCAAATTCGTGGGGATGCGATTACAGAAGTACATGTGTTACACTGATGTTATACAGTCCCAAGGATGACGCATGCATTGCTCATAGACTCATGGCGCTATGATCCTAACTCTCAGTGCCCAACGCGCGCGTGCACAGCCAGACGGAGGGAGAGAAACACATGTATACAAGGTTCGTGACATACGCACGGTCCACCATGTTGTAAACGATCGCATGCACGGTAAGTTCTGAAATTATACGTATGTACAAGCAGACATGCGAGGGAGAAAGGGAGATGGCCATCGACAGTTCCAATACGGCTCCAAGGCGGAAGAGGGGGAGGAGGAGCAGGACAAGGAGGAAAGGAGAGAAGCGAGAAAGGAAGAACGCAGACGGCGCGGCTCTGGACACAAAGGGGTGCCATACTTTCTCCTGCTTTCGCAAACAGGTCCAGTCACACGTAGGGGTATACTCAACCGAATGGTCTTCGCATCCAGAAGCATACTAAAGGCGCGACGCATCGTCGTCTGCGATGGCGCGGAGCGGGCGCGTGGGTGCCCGGCTGCCTGGCTGATACACGTGCGGGCCTGGCTGATACCCGTGCGGTCCCAGATGCCCAATGAGATTGCCGATACGCCTGCTGGCGGGAAGGCCGGTGCTTGCATACGGCAGTGCTACCGCGAGCACGTTGTGGACCTGCGGTGGCAAGGCCTGGTAATCGAGCATGTTCGGAAGCTCGTCGCTCTGACCATACGACCGCCATACGGGCAACCACCACCACTGGTCTTGACGCGGATACGTGATCTCTGTGCCGACCTGCGCAACCGTTGTTGGAGAAGTTCAAAGCACCTGAAGAAGTAGCACGCAAAGACCCTTTTGACAGAAATGTTTAAAAAGTGGTGTGTTTCCTATGAATCCGCAAGAGCGCGCGGAAGGACATTTTGACAATTTTTTCTTAAAAAACCATTGGGTTTTTGATGTTTTTATGTTAAAATCGTTACGAAACCTAAGGTTTTGGAAGGATTTCGTCTTGCGAGCGCGAATGTCCACTTTACCTTATTTTTTGCAAGGGATTCTTGAAATTTGATCAACTAAGAACAAGAATTTTCATTTTCTATTGTTTTTTGCAAGGGAAAACGAGCGTCAACAAAAAACCGGATCCGGGGGTAATCCACTTTTCTGAAGCTTTCGCAGAAAAATGATGAAAATGTAGCTGCGGCCTAGGTTTTGGGCGGGGGGCGTGCACCAGGGGGTCCAACAATAATAATTCTTTAGAAGTAATAGTGTTCAACAACAACAACAACAACAACAACAACAACAACAACAACAACAACAACAACAATCACTTTACCCGAACGCTCAGTGTTCTCACCAGTGCCAGGGTTTTCATGCGACGCCAGCCAATACCCCCACTTTGTGGGGGGGCAGTGCAAGCTCTACCAAATATCCACACGACTCTTCGCCACCACCCACACCCAGCTTCCCGCCCTATGACGTTCGGACACTTCACTTCGTGGCCTGCGGACGACCGTGGCTACTACACTGGCGTGGAGTACACACCCACAGAAGTTGTTAGGACAGCGCGCGCGGGTAGAAATTTTGAAAAGTCGTGCAGGTGTTTTTCGAGGACCTACGGTGCGATTCGTGTGATTTTATGATGCGCGGTGCTAAAATTCTTAAGAAACCCAATGGTTTTTGGAGATTTCGGCGTGCGCGCGCGAAGAAAAAACGAATGTGTCCCGCATGGTATTATTTGACAGGGATGATGGCCCTGGCAGGTGCGCAACCGTTGTCGCAGAAGTTCGAAAAAGTTGCTCGCAAAAGCCCGTTTGACAGAAATGTTTAAAAAGTGTTGGGTTTCCTACGAATCCGCAAGAGCGCGCGGGATGAGATTTTGACAATTTGTTGTTGAAAAACCATTGGTTTTTTGATGTTTTTATGTTAAAATCGCTGCGAACACTAAGCTTTTGGAAGGATTTCGTCTTGCGCGCGCGAATGTCCACTTTACCTTATTTTTTGCAAGGGATTCTTGAAATTTGATTATATTAGAACAAGAAATGTCATTTTATAGTGTTTTTTGCAAGGGAAAACGGATTACAACAAAACAACCGGATCTGGACCCCATCCACTTTTCTGAAGCTTTCGCGAAAAAATGATGAAAATGTAGCTGCGGCCTAGGCGCGGCGGGGGGGCCGTGCACCAGGGGTCCCAACAATAATTATTCTTTAGAATTAATAATGTTCAACAACAACAACAACAACAACAACAACAACAACAACAACAACAACAACAACAACAACAACAACAACAACAACAACAACAACAACGACCGGCGGCCCGGACCCAAACCATCTGACAACCTACCAGACATTTCGGGTTGGGGGGGGTACGGGTCCCGTATGTGTTTTCCAGAACTCCCCGACGCCCCTCCTCTGGAAATGGAAGACAAATTGGGGCCCTCGGGTTGGGTTGGCGTGGATGGGTGACTGGTGACTTTCTGCGCCATTTCTCCGGCCAAATCGATATGTGAGGGCCCTGGGGCCCGAAACCGCGCGCGCGACACCCGTCGTGAAAAACAAATAAAAAATGCGACCCCAGGATCTCGCTAGGTGGTCCACAGACGGGGTCCTAAGGGATGGGGTCCTGAGAACGAGGCGCCCGTGACAATGTAGGTCCACGCTTGAATCCATCCCGATCCTTAGGACCCCATCCCTCAGAACCCCATTCTTGAACCACCAAGAGAGCCCAGAATTGAATCGATAAGTCGGATCTGAAATCGAAATGAATAGGATCGGCGGAAATCGGCAGCCGAGTCGGGAAAAGTCGAATCGGCAGAAATCCGCAGGCTAGAGAAATCGGAGCCCACATCGGAATCCAAAATCGAAACGAATCGGAATCGGAAGCCATCGAAGTCGAATCGAATCGGAGGAATCGAAACGAGCCCTACCCGAACCACCAACTCTGGGCACCTGCTGCGCGGCGGGGCGACGTCGTGATTTGATCAATACTGGGCCCCCAAAAGTCTCGACCCATTGCCCAGAACCGGATTCTCATCCTGAATCGTTGTTTGACGGTCCCGGGGCCCGGCGAGGACCCCCGGGGACCGAAAACAGGGAAAAGCCTCCGTCCTGATGTCTTCAGTACATTGGACCTCTGGGTCCCTCCCTACCCTTAAGACCCCATCCCTCAGGACCCAACCTCTGAAGCAAAAATCGGCAGGCCAGTGGGCCTCCGTCGAAAAATCGGAGCCCACATCGAAACCCGAATTCGAATCGAATCGGAACCGGAAGCCACCGAAGTAGAACCGAATGGAAGGCATCGAAACGAACCCGACCCTCAGGACCCCAGCTCTGAACCACCGACTCGGAGCACCCGCTGCGCGGCGGGGCCGCGGCG